AAGGGAAAAAAAAACACCCCCACAAGGGGGAAGGCCCCAAGTGGGCCCCTGCCTCTTGTTCTCCCTGGCTCCAGAGACTTCTGCATAAGCCTTAGCCGCTGGCTGGCCAATCTCCTCTTCCTGGGGCAGCAGCCACTGCTAAGCATCCTTCCCCCCACTTCTTGCTTAAGCCTGCTCCTGAGTCACCAAGTGCACATCTAAACCTCAGCTCCAGGGAAAGGAAGAACCCACGGCAGTGCCAGAGTCCTGGGGCAAGCCAGAGCATCACCAGTCAGCAGACCCTCTGCTGGGCACTCTAAGCAAGCACAGGGCAAGCCCCCCAGTTTAGTGTGTCCTGTATCCAGCATGGAGACAGCACATGCGTTGTGCAAGAGGAGCACAAGGGCCCAGGGGCTGCATGGTGGGGGTGGGCGAGGCTGTCAGTGCCCGTCCACATTGTGTGTTTCACACCATCGCAGGATGCCGTATCAGGGCCTCAGTTCAAAGACACGCCTTCTGAATTCCCCCCAGCCCCATGCCAGAAGTGGGCAGTAAAGGAAAGGGGCATGGGATTAGGCTGTTACTCCTGGGCTATCTGCAGTTTTGGGCCCAAAGCCCTTGAATCCTCATAGTTAGTTGCTGTCATTCTTGATGACGACCTCTAATCCGTGGTGCCGCAACTGAGCTCGTAGCAGCAGATTCTTGTTTTTAAGATCTTCCACCTAACGTGGGAAGGAGAGAGTAAGAGGAATGGGTAGAAAAGTTGGCATTACCAAGCCCCTGAACTTATTCAGACATCCACAGGTCAGGAGAAAAAGGTGAAGCCCTCTCTATGGAGAATAAAGTAGGGAGTCCTAAACTGGGTCAGTGGCCATAGGTGTTGAGGAGGCGTATACTGGGGGTGGGAGTCTGACCTGCTGTCGAAGCACATCATTGTCCAGCTGCAGTTGGTCAAGCCCTTGCAGTTCTTCAGACAAGCGGTGATTACTCTGCCGAAGCTCCTGGATATAATCGCAAGCTTTGGATAGAATCCCACCTTTGCTCTGCAAGACAGGGCCAACAAAATGAGGACTAGGATTTCATATAGCTACCTTGCTTTCCAAAAGCAGTTCATACTTTGGACTTCATTTTCCCCTAAGAATGGTGATAACGCTCTCCCAGGGACACAGGAACCTCAGAAAGATAAGAAAAGATGACTGCTGTGTACGTCCCACTTGCTACCATTTCTGGAAACAATACCAGGAGCCAGAATTCAGGCATCCTGCCCACTACCAGGGTCTTTCCATGACCTGGCCAGACTTGGTGCTCTCCATAGAGCAGTCTGGGATGATCTTGGACAGCTGCACAATCCAGTTGTTGATCTTGTCCCTGCGGCGGCGCTCCACTATGGAACAAATGGAGGACAAGGTGACTCAGTGAAAACTCACCACAAGTCCCAGGGTAAAATTACCTAACCCCTCCTCCCTTCAGACATCACTGCTGACCCCAATCCCACCAGACGGCTCCTAGCTTCGCATCTGGATCGTGCCTACCTTCATTGTGCTGAGCCCTGCGTTTCTCATCTCGAGTTGTCCTGGGAGCTTCTGACTTCCTGACAACAGAGCCCAGGGTAGCCACAGTGAGGGAAGGACAAAAAATAAGATTTGAATTTGGGGTAAGGAATTACACAAGATTTAGCAGGTATTAAGAGCACTCATGGAAATTAAGAAACCAGGGTCACTCACGGGGAATAAGGGTGGGTCCTAGGGGCAATCGAGCGCTGGCTTCCTCCCTGCAATACTTCTTGTGGCGACATCATCACAAAAAATTGACCTGTGAAGATGCAGGGTAGGTTCTGTCAGGACATGAGACTAGGAACCTCACCAAACCCTGAGGCAAAGACCCTGGGCCCCTCCTCCAAAAAGAACACCTTTGCTGGGCGCAGTGGCTCACGCCTGTAATCCTGGCAATCTGGGAGGCCCAGGTGGGAGGATCGCTTGAGCTCAGGAGTTCGAAACCAGCCTGAGCAAGAGCGAGACCCCATCTCTACTAAAAATAGAAAAATTAGCCAGGCGTTGTGGCACGTGCCTGTAGTCCCAGCTACTGGGGAGGCTGAGACAGCAGGATCGCTTAAGCCCTAGGCTGACACCACTGTACTCTACTCAGGGCAACAGTGTGAGACTCTATCAAAAAAATAA